CACCTTCACAATCCTTTTTTGAGCTCAATATAAACACCAAGACTACAGAATAGCGAAAATCACCCCAGGGTCTACTAAAGGTAAATGTGGATGGCGCTCTCCAGCAATCATCTAGTGGCTTGAGTATCATTATTAGAGACAATTCTGAAAAGTTTGTTTTGGGAAGAGCACTTCATTCTCAAATGAAAGATATTCTAGCAATTGAAGCTTTCGCTTTTAAAGAGGCATTACTCCTTGCTTCTAATTTACGCCTGTCTTTTCTTCACTTAGAGGGTGATGCTCTTTTATATTGTTCAATTCCTATTGGTTCAATTGAATCCTCTGGCAAATTTGTATTGTCATAGCGGACTGCAGGACATTATTACATAATTTCACCCATGTACCAGTCATTCACACCCATCATCAGTCAACACACATTTTAGCCCAGTGTGGGTGTTATTTGTTCACCAATTGCTTTACGTTGTCCTTTTGTCCAGTTTTTCTTTTAGATACCATTCAAAAGAACTCTGGCTTATACTAATGCTTTTGATGAATGAAATTGCCTTTTGGCTTAAAAAAGGGGGTTTTACTTTTCAATCCACCCCAGAAATCTTAGCTCCACTATACAATTGGGGGTAGGTGCTAGCTCATAATTGATGCCAATTTACGGGCGGGTATGGGTGTTATAGGTGTTGGAAGGGTTAGGATTCATCATATGGATGGCCGAAACCATGCTAGATGGTAGGGTGAAATTTCAAAAATTTCTTAATCCTTCTGATAATCGAATTCCCTATGTTTTGAAAAACTGCATTTTTCAAGATCGGTCTTGCATCGAATCGGACCAGATTTGAAACCAACCAAAAAGGGAAATGTATACCTGATACGGATACCACAAACGCAGATCCCAAGGTGGAAGTTCATGCCCAAATCAGTCATAAAACTAACCTTCTTTAAAGATGGTGTAGTGTATTTCTGAAGTCGATTCAGCAACATAGTTTTTAGCAAAACTGCAATCCAACTGCATGAATCAAACTAGGGAGGTGAGCATGAAATTCCTCTGTATTTTTCTTGCATAAACTATATGAAAGCTGATATCTATTAGTCCCAATATAGCTATGGTCAAACTAGGGTTTCTTGGGAGACAAAAGGAATAAGAGAGAACAAAATATAGAGATGTTGTAGTCTAGCTTGCCATCTTCTTTTTTTATCTCTTTATGGAGCACTTCTCCTAATCAAATTAGGAGATTATCCAAATCTAATTTGGACCTGGACTCCATTTAGAGATAAGCCTTATCCTCTTAAGAGGATGGGTGCTCCATACCCATTTCCAAACCCAAATTCGCCCCATGTCACATGACAACTTAAATTGTCATGTGAAATTTTAATTAATCATATTAATTATGGGCTTTAGACTTATTAGCTATAATGCTCATGACCCAAGGGTGTTGCATGGCCAACTTAGGCCTGATTTGTATGGCGTGAAACCCCACAATAACTTCACATAAGTCCACATGGGTTCGGCACAAATCACTATGGGCTCAAAATGAGCCCAACATTTACACATAAATGACCATTGAATCCAGTCATCCTATGAAGACCCAAGGAAAATGGACTTAAATAAGATAAAGCCCATCAAGTAACCAGTCCTGTAATGGTCTCTTACACTTAACCTCTCGGCCCATAATGATCAAACACTGCCCGACAGGGAAGGACCTCTCACTTGGCTGCAAGGTGTAGTATCACACTCTCTACTCAGATGGATCCCGAGAATTAAAATCTTTTTGTAAACATTTTTCATAAAACATAATATATATCATATAAATATATTTTGTAAAATCAAATCTCAAACACAATTGAAATCTACTACTGACAGTTTAAGTTTCCATTAGAAAGAGTGTAAGCCCTATCATTCACTTTGTTTGACAAAGGGGCTGATTCTATCACTATGATCACATACTTAAGTGAATTCTCAGACTGCCCCAACATACCTAAGTTTTGACCCTCAATGGATCTCACTGATTGGCATATTAAAGACAAACCAATCTAACATCTAGTGCATTACCATAATCAAGTCTAGGGGTTATATGTAACTTTCCAATTTTGCCCATAAATGTCCAAAGTCTAGGGCATAATTGAAAAATGGTATGAGTTCAGTGTTTCAATCAAACACATATTGCATGTGCTTCGGGTCTAACCCTAGCAGTTAAGACAAGATGCCCCAACTTTTTTGGCAATATATTAGTGTCAGCCTTGGTAGGATAAACTCCCCAAATCTATCCAACGACTAAGAACATTTTAGACTAACACGAGTCTCATAAGTGTCCAATTTAAGGGGTAATTTCATAGAAACACATCAATATCAATATGAAACAATAATGTATTTTTATTTATTTACAATAAATGTTTTTGTACATTAATTATATTGGAGCTAAGGGCATGCACTGTCTAACAATAGGCGGAGGTGTTTATAATTTTGAATTGTTATAGGTCTGCAGTTTAATTTACAATTTTGAGGTGGAGTGCAATCTACTTATCCCTAAAAAAATTGAATAAGGGGAAATTTCTTAAACTACCCTTACTATTTAGCTAATTAACTAACTCTACCCTTATTGTTACATATTATCTTAGGCTACCCCTAAGTTTTCTGACAATTGACTAAATCCTCATCTACCATTAATTTTCCGTTACACTCCATTGCATGTGACAGCGTGTGACGATTATATTTTTCAAAAATTCCTAAAATACCCTCTCATTTTAAAAATTAGAAGATTAAAGGTGAAAGAATGCGGGTCCAACTCATAGATGTGTCAGTGGCATCCATTTTCTCGAGTTCCAGTTGTTCAAGAGAGGTATCAACCATGGTTTCAGCAGTTGTGCCCCTACCTGACTGCAACAAGGACCAACCCATCTCTCATCTCTCATCTTCTCCCTCTCTTTCTCTCTCCATCCACTTTGTCAATGAGGATCAAAATGCAGATCTCCCCCTTGTAGAAAACAACCACCGCCACCTTCATCCACCCTCCGATTCAGCCCCTAGTCCACCCCTCCAACGACCCAAGCTAGAGGATTGACAAGACTCCGATCTGCACCTTCGATTAAGCAACACTTCTTCAATTTCTTTTTCTTTTTTCTTTTTAGATTTTTCAAGAACATGGACGACTATAGACTTCTGATTATCACTAATATTACAAATGATTAATGAAGACCGAAAAGTCCAAGGTTTGTGCATTGGACATTTGGTTTCATAAACTTAACAACAAAAGCAATAAAAGCTCCTGACATGAGCTTTACTTTGCAAAGCATTATACGAAGTTCGAATAGTCAATCTGGAAAACGTAAGCAGATCAATACGAATAACAAAAGATAATGATAAGATGTAATCCGAACTCCTAAAGTAAATAAAGAGAAATAAAACAAACTAGGATTTTATCAAGAAATGTAGTAGACAAGATCAGCCAAAGCTCTATGATTCAATGTTACCTGTTCAAGCAACCATTGCTGACTGAACAGCTGATTTCAAAGCAGGAACCGAAGCAACTACAAATAGAATCCAGGCTCATATCGTTATCCTAACTCCAAAGGGAAATAAAGGAAAAGAGTACTCTGATTTTGATTAGAGAGACTTTTGAGGTGTAAAATAGGATTCGTTCTACTCATTCTAAAGAGAAAAAAGAGACAAGGTGTGAAGGAGGCGTTGATAGAGAAATTCTGGGTTCGAACAAAAATGCAAAATCAGAGGGAGTTTGCCTAACTAGATTGGGTTTAACGGGGATTTGTTGCAACGGTGGGTGAAAGGTGGTGGTTGAGTGGTGAAACGGGATAAACAGGGGTTGAGGAGGGAGAAAATGGGAGAAGAGTAAGAATGAAAGTGAAGAGAGACGAAACCGACAAGGAGAGGATCGCCGCTGCTAATAGTTGTAGCGGCAGTGGCGAATAAGAAATATAGAAACAAAAGAGAGGGAAGAAGAAAACGCCGCTGCTGTCTCGTTCAATTCGTTGTTGTGAAGAGCTCAGTTTGCTGTGAAAGGAAGAAGACGGTGAAGAAGAAAAAGGAGAAGAAGAAGAGAGAGACGAAGAGGAAGAAGATGGTGCTAGTTCCTATTGGGACGATGCATACTACCATTGTCGTCACTTTTGAGGTTTGAATCAGTGACGATAATGTTTAATGGGTAAAATAGTCTTTTTAATCCTTTCATTTAGTCGATTATTAGAAAATTTAGGAATAATTTAAAACAAAATGTAAACTAAATGGTAGAGTTAATCGATTAGTTAAACATAAGGATAATTTAAGAAATTTATCCAATAAATAATATGAAAAGAGATATGCATCACCATGTAAGCATCTATATAAATATATTAAGCTGAAATGTGTACCAAGGCTCGAGGATGACGGAAATGGAATCTACCAATATTTTTTTGCCTTTTTTCTTAAAAGTTATAAGAATGTCACTCTCTACCAATTCTTTATCTCTTTTGATTTTTTTTTCTTTTAAATTATAAGAATGCTACTTTTTTCTACCAACTCTCTCTCTCTCTTGCTTTTTTTCTTTCAAATTACAAGAAGCCATTCTCTCTGAGAGACTTCAATTCGGCACCTTGGTTACTAGGAGACCTACAACCAAAGGTAGTCAAGTTTGAGTCGAGCTGATGCTCAAGTCTCTAATTCGACACTTGAGTAGCTGAGGAAGATCTCGATTTAACACCTCAGTCATTGAGAGAGATTTCGGCTTAGCACCTCGATAATGAAGGAAGACCTCAGCTTAGCACCTCAAAAATTAAGAGAGACCTTAACTGGATACCTCACCTGCTAAGAAAACTTTGACTCGACACTTGAGTAGCTGAGGAAGACGTCGGTTTGACATTTCAGCAAATTGAGAGAGACCTCAACTGCTTTGAAATACTTGTAATGAAAAGTAGTCGAAATCGAACTTGACGTACATCACTACAATACCAACTACCCACACGGTGAACAATCCGTGTGACGCCGTTAAATCGATTAAAAGTTAGTAAGATGATGTGGCAAAAAATAATGGGAGGGTTCACGAAGGTGGATCGAAAGCGTCCATAGAATGCGAGCAAACGATACTAATGAATCCCTCGATCGCTTTGACTTGAGAAGGGTTTCAACTTTCACTTTTCTTCTGGATTTTCCTAGCCCAACGATCGGTCGAGAATCTCTTTCATTTTACGACCGGCAGGCAAGAACTAACAGCTGCCTGTAAGGTCCGAGCTCAGACCTCAAAGTCGTCACGACGGCACTACCCGTGTCCTTCTCTCTCGAGCTTGCTCCAACTGCAGAAGTTGGATTATTTGATTTCTTTGAATTATTATTGTTTTTAATTTTCATGTTTAATTTGCAGGTGGTATTTGGAATCAAGCGGGATAATTCTATACCATCTCTGTCGAACCTAGGTATGGCGTTTATTCTTCTACTTATTCACCAGTTACAACTACTTTTGTTCCAAACCAGACACCTGATTTGCAGTTTGATTCGATTTCTTTACTCATCAGCTGGCCCTTTAAAACTTCTCGGTTGTCATCATGGAGAGGCAACACCATCGTCGTTTAATGAGAAGACGATGGTGAGTGAGTGGGAAAACAAAATCTCCTCTGCCATCGATTGTAATGGTGCCATTTTCAATGTATTCTGTTTAGATTGTCTTCTTTAAAATTAAGAATGAAATATTAGCCTGTTTATAGTATCCGAAGTATATAAATGTATTCGATTTATTTACCTATGATTTACTACGTTTATTATATTTGTTAATTTTAATACTATCCGAAGTATATAAATAAAATATGCAATGAAACAAGAGATCCCGTATTTTTTGAGCAGCAGAATTATTCATGAGCTATTGGGCTTTTTGTTTCCATTTCATCGGTAAAATCCCTAGAAGTACATTATTTCCATTAAAGAAGGGAGAGTATATGGAATTAGAGAAGAACTATGGAGGAAAACAAAGAGATACTATTCCCATTTCTTGTTATTGTTCTTGTTCTTCTTCTTTTGTATGTAGATAAAAGAATACCCCATTTCATTGCTTTGTCTTTGATTATGTTGGGTTAGTAAATTTTGTGGACCTTTGTTGGATGCTATACCGTTGAGAAAATTACTACCACTTCTTAAACACCCTCCCTTCTCCCCAAGAAAAAGGAAAAAAATGTTCTACTTTGCATGTTACAAAGGGCTTTTTCTTGTCCTTGTTTGTGCCTCTACTAACCGATCCTTGGACTTATCTTCCTTTACATTTAGACCAACAATAGTTTCTGACCTGACATAAGTCATAATCCCATTAATCTGTAAGAGAGTTTTGTAAGAGTCCAACTGTATTGGATAATTTTGTTGTCAGAACCAGCAGATAAAATGGTTTTGGGTAAATTACAAAGATCCCCCTTGTACTATGGAGTTAGTGACAAATGCCAAACTTTTGTTTGCGACAAAGACCCCCTGAACTTTCACTTTGCAACAAATACCCCTGACCATTAAGTCAGATGACAGAATGCATTAAATCACCAAAATGTGCACCTAAACTTTCCTTATATTCTTTTTCTCCCCCTTTTCTCTTAAACCTTAATTGACCAAAACATACCTCTATTTTCTCCAAATGAAACCAGCTAAAATAACAAGAATCATTCCATTAGCATAGAAAAAAGTTTTTTTCTTTTTAATTCTTGATTCATTTCATTCACATGAATGTCTCTCTTCATCTTAAAATATAAAAATTATCCACTCCTTTCTCCAATAAATCAAGAAAAACCAAATGAAACCATAAATTTATATCTATCAAAAAGAAACCTCTACCATCTCATTTGAAACATGTACAACAAGGAGCTGTACACAGGGATTTACAAACACTGCCCATGCATATCTATACCCCCATACCCTGATTTACAAAACGATTCCCAAAGGCAAAAAAGGAGTTAAATGATTTTATAGATCCTGCAAGGATCTATTGGAGCAACCGGGATGGCTTCAATGTTATATTTAGAAAACTAATAGAATCATAAATCATTCATATAAATAAGAAAAGGGTAGTTTGAGGATTTAAAAATTTTAAACAGTTGAATGAGAAACTTTTTTGAAGTTAACTAATGCAACTCTAATGGAGGGGTATTTGTTGCGAAGTGAAAGTTCAGGGGGTCTTTGTTGCAAATCAAAGTTGGGGGGTATTTGTCACTGACTCCATAGCACCCGGGGGGTCTTTGTAATTTACCCAATGGTTTTATATGCTGCTTAGTTCTCACAAATGTTGATGTGGTCAACTTCAGCATAAATAATGTATAAATGCCTCTCATTCCACATCATATTTGTTGTTTTAAGCTTATTTTGGTACTAAATAACTCTAAAATTATTCTGGAATTGTTTCATATTTTGTTTTTAATTTCTCTATTTGTACCTAGTCACTAAAACAATTCTGTATCTGGTCTGGTTCTGACAACATTGTATAAGAGATGTACCTATGGTGGCCTGTATAATGACTAGAATTATTGCAAAAAGGTAATTGAGTATATTAACTATAAGTAAATCTAATTTGTCTTAACCATTCTTTGCCCACCTCATAACTAAATTATAACCTTGTAGATTAACAAATAAAGTTTGGCATCTCTATAAATCAAGACTATCAATCAAGATTATTTAATTTGTCTCACTTCATTGTAGATTATAACAAAATTAATTGTATGACCATCTAAGCTAAAGTCTTCGGCCAGCAAGTCTGAGAACACTGATTTGAGTCTGAGGGCAGTCACTTTGTGTAGGAAAAAATTGCAAAGGTTGTGACTGTACCCAGTCTACCCTTCCCAAGACCCCAGATAGATGGGACCAACACAATGGCCTTTTCATAGTTGTCAAGGCATCTAGGTGATTCTGGGAGACATTGGGGGACCTAGGCATAAGAATTTTATATTACCATTCAGCATGCATATTAACTGAATTCATTAATCCTGATATAGTTGATATACCTATTGACATTGTTCTACCTAGAATTCAGCCTCTGTACATGCTCCCAAATGTCCCTTGCAGTGTCCAAGAACATGAGATTAATATTGAATTTGGGGTCCATGCCGCTCTGTAATCATTTCATTATTTGAGCATTTTTTTATAAGTAAACATGAATCTATTCATTAATTACTGAAAGAGCATTACAAGTTAAATTCAAGTAGAAGAGAAAATTAAAAGTCATGTTTTAACAGCCCCTATTACAAATCTGCCCAGAACTATATACCCTTTGTCTTGCCAAACTGTCTGCCATTCCATTTGCTGTTATCTTTACCCATTTTGAAGCTTGCTTCTAAATCCTTCGCCATGCTCTTGATTTCTCTTATTTATTTTTTGATCAGCACTCTTGATTTCTCTTATTAGGCATCTGAAAGCCCAAACACCTGGGTTGTTGTCATTCATCCAAGAGATTACCAGTTATGAGTCACCCTCGATCTCCAGATTCTTAAAATAACGTTGTTTTGCTAGCTTCAAACCTTGTTGTAAGGCTAATAGCTCAACTCTTGTAGAGTCCCCTTTTCCAATCGGCTTGAATACACAGTCACCACTTTCCCTGTAGCATCTCTGAATACTCCAATTCCTAACAACCCTGGATTTCCTATTGAGCTTCAATCAAAGTTCAGTTTTAATCTATTAGAAGCCAGAGAGGGGGGGTTCCAGTCCATATTTACTATGTCTTTCACAGCTGCTGAATTTGCAATTTCAGACCCGGCTCTTTGAATATCATCTACCATCACCCCTTTGAAAGCTTCCAAGTTTTAAGCTTTTTACTGGCTCATAAATGTACTGAAGTTTTCCCTTTAATTTTAGAAAACCTCTTTAGATTAGTTCACAGAACAAAGATTTCAATTGATGCCAGTTTAATAGTAAAGTAGTCTGCAGTCACCATCTATTCAAGCTTTGATTCATCAGTACAGGAGGCTGTCACCTCTTAGGAATCTCAATTCTAGTGATTCATAGTCAAATAGGAAAAAGGTGGCATTTGGTACAGCTGAATCAACTTCCGAACACCAAAAACATTGCTTTTTCGAAGGTCAGAGGTTGTTTGGCTGCACCTCTGAATTGTCTCTCTGAACACTGAAAGAACCTCTGAACCATTCAGTGCCCAACCTACTTCTGAGCGCATTCAGAGGTAGTGGATGAAATTTCCCTTATCTCTCCCATGAACAGAGGAGTCGGTGAACCAGGTCCAAACCCCGAATGTCGATTGTGGGTTTGAACAGAGGTTGACTTCAACATTTTAGGACCAGGTGCTGGTTGCTGGCAAAGGAAAAAATGATGTTGATTATATGGCAGATGGTGTTGCTGATGAAGGACCAGTTGCAGGTGATGTCAACTGCTGCATGATGAGCAGTGCTGGTTCAACACTTCGGTGAGGTGCAGAGTCTCACTGCCTCTGGTTCGACATTGCAATGAAGAAGATCATGAACAGGGTATCAGATCTGCAAGAGGTTGGGGACGATGGATGAACACTGGTTGATGATGAACTGTGCCGAAATCCGATTTGAGAGGAGGTAGAGAACACCTCAGATCATGAACAGGGCATCAGATTTGCGAGAGGTTGGGGACGATGGATGAACAGTGCTGAAATCAAAATTAGGAATCAGTAGACAGGCATGGTAACACTCTGTTGTCACCACCAAAGGGTTCTCTGTCAGTTCCTCCATGGCTGCGTCATCATCTTCATCTGATTCTTTGTCTTCTCATCGAGATTGTTGCCACTGCCATAGGCACAAAGACGCTTTCAAGATTTGTAATGAAAATTGCTCTCAAGTTGCAAACAAAGCGCAGACGGAGGCATCACTCATCCGATGATTACTCTTCTTCTTCTTTGGAAGATTACATTAGTATAAGTTCATACAAGATGCCTTCCTTATTTCAATTCTAATTTCTGAGTGGCACTTGCATTTGTTGAAGATAAGAAGTGGACAGATTTTATTGATAAAATCCGATTCGTGAACAGTGCCGAAATCCAATTTGTGAGAGGTGGAGAATCTCACTGCCTCAAATCATGAACATGGTATCAAATTTGTGAGAGGTTGGGGATGATGAATGAACAGTGCTGAAATTTGACTTTTACTATTCTATATTTTTTAACTTTATTTATTAATTTTTAGTGATATTATTTATTAACTTTTGTTGTTCTTAATTTTTTTATTATTTTTATAATATTAATCTTTTGTATTACTCTTTTAAATATTATTTATTAGTCCTTTTTATTATTTGTTTCATATTTTGTTGTTAATTCACAATTTTTATTTTTTTCTATTATTAAATAATATATTTCTGTAGTATCATATTATTTTAATCATTTTCATTTAATTTTGTTTAAATAATGACTGAAGGGATAAAATTGTAAAATGCAATCTTTTCAGACGTCACAACATTCAGATTACTGAACAATCCCACTATATTCAGATGTTTGCAAAGCAGAAAAGCAAAATTTTTGCCAAATACTTTCAGAGCTTTTTTGGAGGTTTATTTGCTGCTTTTCAGACTTCAGACTTCAGATTTACCGAATGCCACCTAAGTGCAACTCCAAACTAAGGACTGTTAACAGTGCTGAGAGAGGCAGGCTGTAGA